AGTAACGCTACCCCCGCATCGCTAGTCGATCTACCACTAGTAAACCCGTATTGTTCACTATGAAAAATATGATTCCTACCGAAATAAGACAGTAGTTGAGTTAGCATAACCTTTTCGAATATTTTACTTAAAGCTGGTAAAATTGAAATGGGCCTATAGTTGCTAGGATCAACTTTCCTACCGCTTTTGAATAAGGGAATAACCTTGCTGTATTTCTTTAAATCGGGAAAAACACCTTCGTCAACGCACCTATTGAAAGCTACAGCTAACTGTGGGGAAATGAGATTAATAACTGAGTCTATAACTTTAGTTGATATGCCCCAGAAATTTTCAGTTTTTTTAACATGTATTGACTTAAAAGCTTTTATGATGTCTTGTGGATTAACATGACGAAAATTAAATAAACTGCCACAAACGTTAACATTTTCCTTTAGGAGATCAATAGCAAGTGAAGGGGAGGAATTTAATGATTTTGTAGTGTTCACAGCAATTTCCGAAAAGAACGATTCAAAAGCTTGGGCTACTTTATCTTTAGATTTTATAAGTTTGCTGTCTAATTCTAAAACTATATCTCTATCGTGTAGTTTAACCCTGCCTGACTCTTTATTTATTATGCTCCAAGTGGTTTTAGATTTATTTATCGATTGTCTAATTTTGTCGCTGTGAAACTTAACCTTAGCAGCTACACAAACTTTTTTAAATATTTTCGAATAAATTCTAACATATTCTATGAAATTGGAATTAGTATTATAAGTTTTCATAGCATGTAGCTCATACAAACGAGACCTACTCTTATTAATACCTACTGTTGCCCAGTCGTTGAATTTAGTCTCTCTATGGCAAGTTAATGTTTTCGATTTAAATATATTGTCAAATTCATTTTTAATTAAACCAAAATATCGTGTTATATAAAGTATTTGGATCCTCCGGTATATGGGATAGGGAATTTAAACTATTGCCGATATTGTTTTGAAATCTAATTATTCGTTCTGTGGTAATCGGTCTCCAGAGAAATTGGTCTACCTTCTTGCTCATTTTACAATCAAAATAAGCCAATTGGCCACTATGGTCGGATCTTAAGCAATTTATTATTGATTTAGACACTGCGTCTGTGTTACAAAAGATGTTATCAATACAAGTAGAAGAGGAGGCAGTAATGCGAGTTGGTTCTAAAAAAAGATTAATCAAGTTAAAACTTTGAAATAAATTAATGAGTCTTATAGAAGTAGAACAGTTTTCCAACAGGTTTACATTGAAATCTCCACATATTACTACGTTTTTTTTGGTTGGAAAAATCCGCTTTAAACTGTCTTCCATAAGTAATTCAAACTCATTAAAATTAGCAGAGGGGGGCCTGTATACACATAAGACGACAAACTGATCAAATTCCACACATGAAATCTCAATAGTTCGTTCAGTTGATTTGTTCCATTGATTAAACATTACTGCTGCTGTTAGTTGAAAGGGCGCATGTGACACTTTAAAAAAAATGATAAATGTACTGCCGTGATCAACAAAAAAAGACGAATCTGCCACTATTTTTATTTTTTAACCGACTTTAAAAAAAGGAGGAGGGTCTCAATTCGACTTTATGTTTTTTTGTATGTATACGCGATAACTCATTTGTGAACCGATTTTTAACCGACTTCATAAAAAGGAGGAGAGAGAAGAGAAGAGGTTCTCAATTCAACTGTATGTTTTTTGTATATACGTTATGCAATAGCTCTCGGGATTTGTGAACCGATTTTGATGATTTTTTTTTTTTTGGAAAGGGCCACCTCGGTTATGGTTCCATTTAAATTTGAAGAAAATACTCCACCTCTAATGGTGCTAAACTATGAGATGAATCCGGTTTCGCGGACATTCCGGTAAACAATTTCAATAAAAAGTCGTTGAAAAACCAAATACAAAGACACGACGCAAGCGCATAGAAAAATTCGTGAGATCCGCTGGTTCGTTCCATGGCTTAGTTGGTATGGCGTCTGACACGGTATGCTAAAAGACGTCGGTTGGAATCCGGCCGGATCGAAGGAATTTTTTCTGAGTGTTCTATCTTTGTATTAATAATTATAACAAACTAGTAGAGTAATTTCACAAAAAAAATGAATATCAACTCAATAAAAATTTTAATAAAACCTGGCAAATAATACCACGAATTTTTGAGGTCGGTTTTTTAGTACTCTGTACTTAGATTATTCCTAAGTGGATTAGGTATGAAGTTAACGTAAGAGAAACGGTTTTATGGTCAAACTAAGTTAAATGGACGCATTTACGAAACAAATTGCTGAAAAGGCGTAACTGCATAATAATATACACGCCATTTCGTTTGAACTACACATTCCTTTCATTCAAGTAAATGAAAAGACGCAAGTCACATTTAACGTTTCTTCAGTTAAAGCTCTACTTTATGTAGTTATTGAAAAATGTTTATTTCCCAGATGACGGTTATACAATGACCAATATAAATTTAAAATAAAATAGAAATGTTACCTTTAATTTAAGAATAAAAATTTTGAAAATGTCAAGTTACGACATTGAAAAGACATTGTAACCACATACTGCCATTTCATCTACATAATACATTAACGTTAACAATAGTGTTGTAATTATACTAAACTGAAAAGGAATAAGTGGTTACATAATACTTTTTTACTAAGTTGTAAATGAAAAAGGGTAGTAATTAAATAATGAAGCATAAATAATAAAATACTTTAATTCCATATTTTGCGTATAACATAGGTTTATCATACTGCGTTTTCAG